GATAAAGAGTGTAAAACATTTTTTCTTGCTTAAAATTACCATAAAAGGAAAATTTTTAACAAAACGGATGTGATCAGAAGAGAGTTTTTAGTTAGTCAGACTTTTTATATAACAATTATAATTTTAATAGTTAATAAAAAGCTTGCATATAATGCACTTAGCCTTAAAAAAAAATTTTTTTTTAAAATTTATTTAATAAAAAAGTCTTTTTTATTAATTCTTTTATCAATCCAAAAAATAAAAATAAAAAATTTTTTTATTTGTTTGTTTTTTCTTTTTTAAAACTCTTTGAATATTTTAAATATTTAAAAATTTATTTATTTAATTTATAATAAGAACATCTTACTAAAAAAGAAAACTTGTTAAAATAGTTTTTTTTATTTTTTTTTTAGTTTTAAATTTTAGAAGAGTTTATTAATAAATATATTTTTCAAGCTTTATAAAAATCTTGAATCATTATAAATTAATACTTTTTAATTAAAATAAATAAATAAGCTAATATTCTAATCTATAAATATAAACATATAATTTTTTTTATAGTTTTAATAGTTCATGTTATTATAGTTCCAATTTATTTTTTCTTTTAATTTTCTTTTGTTTTTTGTTTTTTTATGTTATATTAAATAATTCTAAGTAAGTAAGTATAGCTGCTATTTAATTATATTTAACATATATAATGTTATTCTAAAAAAATTTTTTTTAATATTAATTAAGTATAGATATATAGGCAAGCTAGCATTTAACTTGTTATATGTTTTGTATTCAAGAAATATTGTTTCTTTCAAAATATATATAACTTTTTAGTATAATATGATAAATAAAGAAATAATATTTACCTATTAAAAAAAACAACTTTATTAATTAAAATAATAAATAAATAAATAATAATTAGAAATATAAAGTACATAATTAAAATTTTATCAAAATAAATTATAATAATAAATTGCAAGTAATGAACTCAAATTTTTTTTTAAAAAAAAACAATTTATTTATTTTTAAGATTATATTTAAAGATTAAATTAATAATAAATAGTCAAGTGTTAGAAAATTTATATATAAAAATTATGTATTATTATGCTTTTAATTATAAAAGATTAAATAAACATAACAAATACTTGTTTAATTACAGAAAAAAAAATTTTTAATTTTAACTTTTTCTATATATAAATTACAGATGAAGAAATTATTTTATTATAAATGTTTTTTAAAAAAAATTTTTTTAGCTATTTTTTTTTTTAAATTAAAATTTTACTAAGTAACTATATTCTTTATATTTTGAAATATATAAATTTTAAATTTTATTTAATTTGAATTTGCTGTATATGTATTATTATTATTATGATTTTTAAATAATAAGAAACGCGCAAAAAGAATAACGCTGTCTTGATTGCTATGCTTACGTAATTTTTCAAATGTATATAAGGTGTAGCGCTGTACAAATTTTAACAGCGAAATATTTAACTTTTAATAAGAATGTCAAAATTAAGTGGGTTTCTTTTTGGAAATGTCGACGCTGAAGGGAAGTTGGAAGATTTGGGACTTGGCGAGGTATAGAGAGGAAATCATTATTACTTGTATTACTTGTAAAAAATGACTTGATCTATAAAATTTGTTGAATCACACGATAGGAACTTCGAGATTCTCTCCAAAAGGGTTCTGAGGATGGAGCTGTTCTCAGTCAAATTTTCTCAGTCCAATCATTAGGAATTGGAGAGATGGAAGATGAGGAAGCAGTTCAAAGCGAGGCATCCATTTCAACACCAATTCGTTCACCTGAAGAATCAAGTATTCGACCAACAGAAGATGCAGTTGACTATTTTGACACAAACGAAGTTATAGCCGATCCGATTTTTTCAAATAAATACTATCAGCAAGGTGTAAATAGCGTTATGAATTTACAAAAGTCATCAATACAGCCGACGCAATTAAATCGGACAATTGAGGACGACAGTAATTACGATGAAGAAGAGATCAAGGACATTCAAAATTCACAGGACAATCTACCTATTAAAATTCCCCAAGAAATAACATTGATGGAAGATAACTTGGTGCAGGATCAATCTCAGTCAACTATGCAAAATCCTGTAATCGACATCAAAACCTTATATCCAGCATTTGAAAAAGATAGGATTCTTAAATTTTCAGAATTATTTGCAAGCAAAATCAGAAGCAAAAAACTAAACCCCGTGAACTTACGTGGTACCTATATTTTGGCATTCTTATAGTTACATTGGAATTTACACAGTCTTAATATAATACTGGATTTTTCTAGCGGTGGAACGGAGATCACCTTTCGAATTTGAGTTAGATGACAGGCAATTATTTGAGTCAGGACCACAAACAAAAGTCGAAAACCTACAAGTTAAAGACATTACGAAGAGTAAAAAATTTGCCGAAGATTCGATTCATTATGCCTCCCCTAAAAGTGACACCGACTCTGAACCTACTTATGATGTTGGTGATCTTTGTTTGAAAACTGAACGTTTGTAAATGTTATTGCAAGTACCATGGATTTACGATTTTCTTTATTAATTAGGGTAATTCGCGTGAGTTAGGAAGTTTACCATGGAAAATTCCCGATCAACCAGATACATATTATTCTATCATGATGGATACATGGGAAGATAAGATTTCATGGAATAGCAATGACAGCGACGAGGATTTGGTAGGGTAGGTGTTTACTAATTACATACTAATGGGTCAGTACTACTCAAATTCTTTTTAATTAACCTCAATTTACTTTAGCCAGGACAACAAGACCCTTCAGGTATGGAAACTTTTACATCGCTAATTTTTAATTTTCTCGCCCAACCAATTGATATATTAATTATTTGATCATCATATTCACTCTGAAGTCGACCGTGACCTTTGGTTACAGGAACAGAGAATTAGAGAGTGGAGAGTGGCTTAATTCGATTTTGTGGGACGATTACAAGGGATCAATACCTTTTGCAAAATTGACTTTAGACATGAATGATCCAAATATGCTCTTTAATTATCCCGGAAATAATTATTCATCGGATTCACCTCTTTATGATATAAATGGTTGGTGATATTTTGTAAAGTAATGCAATAATAGATTATGAAAACTCACTTCATTTCGGATTATAGGTCAAAATGCATTTAAAAAATTGAGGAAATCTTCTTCAGCTGTGAGTGAAATCTTGGCTTATGATCTTGTAGTTTGAACGTGTCGATTTGTTTTGTCACTGATTATTTTATATCCCAGTTTGATAATAAGTTGTCGGAAATTGAATCGTACAACAATTATTTTGTTGACGAAAGTTCTATTGACTTATGGAACATCGAAGATGGACCGAAGAATTTCAAAAGACGACTAAATTTTGGACAAATGTTTGTTCATCATTCTCTACCCGCACTACAATTACACTCTCAATATGTAAGCCTATCTTTTATCTGACTAAATTGTTTATCCATGATTTGCTCTTAATATATACCGTTATTGCTTTATTAGTTCAAGACAAAATTTACCAAATCAGATATTAGAGCTTTACATCGGCCGACAATTCAATTTCCTCTTAATCAAGAAATTCATTTTAACAGGGTTAAGTCGCGCGGAAAACTTCGAAAAAGGAAAGCTCGGGAAGTGATGAGGAGTCCCAAAGAGTTGACACTAAAAGATAATAGCAATTTCGTTCTGCTGGAGTATTCGGTAGATACCTTTATTTTTACATTAATGAATCGACACTGGTATATACATTCGCTTAGGAATCATTTTTTTAGGAAGAATACCCTCCAATCTTATCAAACATTGGAATGGGAAGTTTACTCCTTAATTATTATCGAAAATTGGATTCTAATGATTTATACGTTCCCAAGGTAATGATTATTGGTAGTTTACATAAATTTGTTTGAAAATCAAGGGAATAATAGGGAAGCACTAATGTTTTTCACATGTCAGCTTGATGTCGGGGATCCAGTAGTATTAGATGTAATGGATGAGTCGCCTTTCATGAATTTTGGAAACGTCGAGCGAGGTCAAGTTATACCTTCCCTGTACAACAATCTTATTAGAGCTCCGCTCTTCAGACACAACGCCAAGGATACTGATTTTTTAGTAATTAGGTTTGTATATTGGGAGATTTTTCTTTCGGTATTGCATCAATAAACCGTTAACAATTATTTATCGATAGAAATACGTACAAAGGTCGTGCAAAATATTACGTGCGTGGAATAAAGAGCCTTTTTGTAGTTGGTCAGACGTTCCCCATGCAGGAGGTCCCTTCACCACCATCACGAAAAGCAAAGACCACAGCAAATAACCGAATTCAAGTTGCCGCATTCAGACTTATGAAGAAGAATAAGTATCATTTATTGGTTCAAGAAAAGCTTGCAAAAAGATTTCCCGATAATAATGAAGTGTTTCTTCGGACGCGTCTAAAAGTATTTTTAAAACTTTTTTTTCGTTGCATCAAGACATTGAATTCGTTGATTTAAGGTTATTTTATTTATTAGGATTTTGCTGAGCTAGCCCGCAAGAAAGGGAACCTTCATCAAGGTCCTATTTGGAAATTGAAGCCCTCTATTCGTCTTCCCAATGAATCCGAGATTCGAAAAATGCTGACACCTGAAATGGTTAAACCAATGTCCATTTTTGATCTCGCAATTATTTATTTTTCTTCTAAATTGGATTGTCAATTAAATGTAGATATGCTTGGAAGAAAGTATGATGGTAGGTGAACGTCATCTAGCAGATGCGGGTTATAAACCTTCCCATATCGACGAGGAAGGTGGTAGCAAACTTTCGAAAAATGAAGACGACGAAATCCAGGATGAGTCCAAGTTGGCTATTGAGGAATCGAAGTTGGCTATCGAGCAACAATTGGCTCCTTGGATTACGACGCGAAACTTTCTCAATGCAACACAGGTATTTCTGATATTAGCGATACTCTCGTTAGACTTCGGATCGGATTCTGACTTTTATTGTTTTTAAAGACGAACGCAATGCTCAAATTACATGGTGAAGGTGATCCTACAGGAAGAGGCGAAGGTTTTAGTTTTATTAGAATTTCTATGAAAGATATATTTTTGAAGGCAGGAGAAAATGCACAAGAAAAACTTGGTAAAATAAGCATAACTCTTTGGTTGTAGACTTGTGGTCTTGGTTATTGATTTTAACAAATGACTTCCATAACTTTATCATTTGCAGCGGAAATTGAAAACAAGCCAAAAAGCGGTCACAAATATAATGTGATGGAACAATGGAAAAGATATAATCAAGAGGTAATTTCGTCACTCATTTTTGTGTTAGGAAGCGAATACTAAATAGCACTTCAAATTAATAGATTTATCGAATATGGAATGCTCAGTATGCATCACTCAGCATGCGAGATGAACTTGCATCAGACTCGGAAAAACTGGATGCAAATCGCATCGATGATTCTGAACGGTATACAAGAGGACAATTTTCGCATAATGACGACACTCAGGTAGTCATTATCACACACATTTGGGCAATGCATCATTTGGTTTACATTTCTTCTAAACAGTGAATTTGAATATAATTGTAGGTGGATAGTGAAACGGAAATGCAGGAAATGCAGGAAATGATAGATTCAGCGATGCCTGATCGTTCACCTTCTGCGGATTTTGATGATGTAGCCTCTATAGATGGCAGTGTGGGTTCTCGAGCAAATTACGATTGTGGTTCTCATCGAAATCGCGCGTTAGTCATCAACCGAATGGTGAGTTAGATGAGTAATGGATAATCGTGATAATAAAGCAATAACTTTACTAAATATCCTTTGTAGGTTCGCACGGAAAACGGTGAGCCCGTGTGGACAAAAACACTCGTTACCGATCCTTCGGTGATTAACGCTTATGTTCGTCATAGGCAATTAATCGAAGAGCAGGCGATGAGGTGCTTGATATTTTGTAATGCGTACAATTTCTCGCGGCTTAAACGATTATTCAATTTCTAAATATTCTTCATTAGTGCCGAACTATTGGAGCCAACTAACGACGAAGAAAAAAACAAGAGATTGAAAAAAAGGCATATAATAT